ATAAATCTGAATTGCTTTCACACGTTTCTAGTTCTTTTGTGTGTTTTGCGTATACAAATGGAAATTATTGGGGTGGGGGGCCCCGCTTCAGGCGGCCTTGACAAAGCGTAATATGTTGTAAAACACCGCTTCTCCCATTCTGCAATTATAACGTCATAGGACCCCCTGGGAAAGTTCCATGACGTCATAGGGTCACCCTGGTTTGGCCCAGGCTCCGAGCAACTTCTCGGCGGCCCTGGTCAGCGGTTAGGGTCAGGATAAGAGACATGAATCCATAATCCTAATATTTAGGCGAGGAACCCGCTGGCAAGTGTGTTTCTAAAGCGGCTAATCGTGTAGAAACATAGAATATGGGAAACAGGGAAAACAGAAAAGCTTTAGTTAAGATGTTTTGTCACTTGCCAGGCAAAATAATGGCAATAATGTCAGTAAGATATACAAGCATGCTACCATACAAACCCGTTAACTCAGTATTGATATTCCGAAGTTGAGCAATTTCAGCCTCCATGCGTAACCGCATTGCTTTCTCTTTATGTTCACGGGTGATAAATGCACTTTTTAAATCTTTGTACATAATTTGAGTATCGCGAAGTTCTTTGTCGACCTAAAATTACATAGAAAGTGCATTTGTTCAATTGCTTGCTGTTTCTGAAAATGTACTGTATACTATAGCCATGGGGTGATTGATATTATACGTATGATACATGTAGACGCGAAAGACCAGAAAACCGCGCGAAATTATCACGAGATGTGTTGGAAATTGCTAGCTACAGTAGGTCATTACTTCGATCCCCATTTATTCATAATCGTGCAAATGATGAGTTGGTACTCTTTGTCTAGCTCATTTGTAGGAATAAAAAAATTTGAAATAAGATTGCGCATGTCATACGATTGAGTTCGGTAAAAATCTTATTAGGGACATTCGACCCATGTATTAGTATATACGAGTTGAGTCTCTGATTGAATCATACAGACAAAGGCAAACAACCGTCAAAATTTGTCCAAAATTCGAAAATGGCTTAAGCTAGCTATCATGTGGAGTTTGGTGGAAAAAAAGTGGTAAATCTCTTTTCATATGCGATTGACGTGAAATTCTAAATAGAAAACTAGTGCAGTATATTGCAGGAATCGAACCTCGGAGTTGCAAGGGTGTAACTGAAAAAATTATGAGCTTACACTTTTTAAATGTTTTATTTCTTGATAATATTTTTGTAGTTGCTTTCGCAAACACATGTTCTCTTCAGAAAAAACTTGAACAATTTGTGTTGCTCTAGATGCAACTTCGTCATCCAATCCACTTGAAACATGACCTGATGAAGTACTTGCAACATCCTTTCCTTCTGTTTGTCCATTCTCTTTTTTAATATCAGACACATCTGTGAAATAATTAATTAAGAATCAATTAAATTTGCACATTAATGACGACTTATATGGGCTATGTAAGTTTTGTTATATATAGACCTTTATATAGACCCGGTTGCCTCTTGGTAGTTGAAAACCTCAGTTCTGAAGAGTGTTATAAAGTTTATTGGAGAGATCTAGAGTTATAAATATAGGTAGCAAATATATTTTTCATGATTATGATTTTATTGTTTACACTACACTTCATACACTTCACACTACTCGTCGAACGGTCATAAATTTAATTCAAGATATTAACTGGTCATAATCAAGACAATATAATTCAAATACAAGAGAGAGTTAAAATACTTGCAATGGTAATTTAGTTATGCTTTTAAAATTTCCTCGGCCTTTGATTTGCATCTTGCGTTTTTAGAAGATGAGCATCTGCAGTTTATCTTATTTGTCGAATTTCGTACGAAACACAATTCTACATTCATGAAGTGCTTAGCAATGCTAAGTTATAGTGTCTATTATAAGACTCTAGTCACCCTCTTTTGTACTGTGAAATATTCGCATGACTAAGAAAAAGCATTTGTGCGTGTTAGACGAGAAGTATTTTTGAACAACAATCATTCCATACGTAAAAGCAATTACGGCCACATACTGATTCAGTAATCATACCATCGAGTTGTGATGATTGACTTAGCAGTGATGACGTGAAATTTGAAATTAAATTTAGAAATTTACTCCATTTAACATGCAAATAATCGGATCCCTGCCAATATTTTGTGCCATATCGAACTTATAATTTCGTATAGTCATAATCAAAATTGTCTTAGGGAAGCAGGTCTGCAGAGAATATACAACAGGGTGCTCGGAAGATCTAAGGTATCTCTATTTGCTCCTGCAGATAATTGGAGGGTTTCAGGTTAAGTCACAGCAGAAATATTTCAAGAATTGTTATCAAGTTCACGTACATGATTATCAATTACAACATAATGAAATATATTTAGTGCAAATATCACTATACACTTGTCAAATTATTCTATTGTAACATGCAGGAAATATATTGGAGTCATTATCATGCAGACACTGCAGGTGAAATGCATGTGAATTACTCATGGACGATGCGTTTCCCCACGATTAACCATGCAGCATCTGAGCGCATCGATTATAAACGCATGTTTATTTGCCCACTGACTGACAATGATAGCAAACATCATGCACTACAGGCTTAACAACGTATTAGTGGCTTGCTAAGCAACGTGAACATGTTTGGACTTTGGAAACAATACTCCGTTTCACAAATTTCGAACGTTTTGGAAAAGGTTTCACCACAGTCCGAGCAGATCACATGCACAAGCAGTTCACTCAACAAGTATATACTTATATGAAGAAATGAAATGGATTATATATTTATCAAAACATAATATTATTCAATTTCATAGTATTATTATTGAGCATTGATCATATTGTATATATACGATATAAATGTAATGAGTATAAAATTTCACATTGGCTCACATCGATGCATATATATATATTTTGTATCTTGACATTCATTCACTAAACTCTTACCTTTACGCGCCTCAGACGTACTCATGCCTGGGGTAAAAACATGCTTGATACGTTTTGGGAACATGCCACCATTAAAGCTTGCAATATACGACTGCCTGTTTGTGATATTGGTTTCACACGATTTAACCACAAACGGCTGTTTCAATACCGAACAGACGTTGTAAGTATGTGTAAAAATAATATCTACCACACGACGTTATGTGAATCTGCATGGGGTATGTATGCACCGACCTTTAAATACACGAATTGGTGTCTTAGTGCGACAACATGATTTATTATTTTGATAAAGGTCGATACAAATCTTATTTATTAGCAAAATATTATGAAAACAAGAAGAAATTATGGCATTATGCCTATTGCCTATAATAATCAAATTTGATCACCTCTTGGTTTTGCTATTAAGAAAAATTAAAGCTTCGGCCTTCGTGCATCTGTTTCATGAATTGTTCATCAATTCATGCGTTGCTACTGGCTCAGTGGGACCTGATCCGATACCTTCCTCTGAGACTGACTAAGGCTCGACTTTGTTAATTATCATCTTAAAAACTCGGCCAGGATAGAGCACAGGAGTTTTCGCATGCATATACACAATGATGGAGTTTTGGAAACGCGCCATCTCATTAAACGATGCTTTGCAAATATTCTTTTACGGTTTTCATTCCATATAGGTTTATATCTTCTGTTTCATTAGGTTTTCATTGAATGAAATTATTTCATTAAACTTCTGGATAATATATTATTTATCAAGTTTTCTAATTATTTGTTTGTTAATCAATGCATGCATGATCGTTGTTTTTATCACTGAATATATGTACATGTCAAGGAGTAAGTATATATTTACATGTTGTAGTATTAAAATACGGTTTAACTCCTTCATATACAAATACATAATTACCTAAATATCAGTCATCTATCGACTATCGGTACACCATAGGTCCATTTAGGCTATAACAAGACATAGTGAGTTAAAGCGTCACCTGGCACGGGTGCATGGTACTGACAGGCTAGCTGATGGTGGTGGTGGCCGTGCATGGTATTCTCCATTTTGCTATTTTATTCATATCAGACT